TTCAGCTCTCAACAAAGTTTTCGTGACTAACTTCATTCTTGCTTTTATTTTCATATATGTTGGTAGTAGTGTGAATGTCTTAGCATGAACACATGCTTCAGACTCCACACTGGTCGTGCTCATTGTTTCCTACACCTTTTCCTTCCAGCTTGATAGACTTGTACAATCTTGCACATACCATATAGACAATTAAGTCTATTGTTGTTAGCCCGGCTAACAAGAAGTAAAACCTATCTAGGTGACCCCGGTTGAGATTGCCTGGGATCCATCCCGGCATATGATGTTCAGTCGATATCTTCATTACCATTGTCACCAACAAGCTACTAACATAGTTCCCAAAGGAGATCGATGTCATGCAGAGAGCACTGCCAAAGCTCTTTAACCCATCTGGCGCTTGTGCATTGAAGAATTCCAGCTGACTTACATACATAAAGACTTCAGATGCTCCTATTAGTGCATACTGAGGAACTTGCCAGAAGATGGTCAAGGAGCTTGAGCCCTCACAATGAGTGCAGTCGCTTCGAGCATATTTCAGTCTGTAACACTCCACAACTCCAGCAACTACCATTGCCATTATGGCTATGACAAGGCCGATACCCATCCTCTCAAGCTCGGTAAGCCCCTTGCTACCTTTTTTCCTTACCCTGTGCACCAGTGGATCAATAACTCTCCGGTAAATAAATATGAAGAGTGCCACGCTGAGGGTGTCGAAGCTGGACATGCTTGCAGGTGGAATCGTGAAGTTTGAGATGTTAGTTTTCATGGCAGCGCCTTGCTCTACAAAGAGAGAGGCCATTTGTGTGAAGACTAATGAGTATATGATGGTGCAGAGCCAAATAGGGAGTAGCTTCAGTATGCACTTGACTTCCTCCACCTGCGTAATGGGACAGAGACGCCAAGAGTTTTGAATGCCCTGCTTCTGGTTATTCAAATCCCTCGTCGTTACACAAGCTGCTTTGTCCAAGAACCTGTAAAATTCCAATTAACAGTTAGCAGGTTTGTCCAACCCTGCAATCTATGGTTTCAGATTTTCCCAAGTTTAGCTCTTACTTGAATTCTTCTGTGTGGAGTATCTTTCTGTTACCATTCGTGGAATAGTCCTCTCCATCCACATCATACAAGTTGTCTGCTGACACATCTACACTCCATTTCCTTGTTGCAGCAACAATGACTTGGGAGAACCTGGAGAGTGGATTACCGGAGGGGTTGAAACTCCTGTACCTTGCGGTTCCTACAAGAAACAAAACCAATGCTGCAAAAGCAGAGCCTGTGGATAGCCAGAATCCAAGTGCCCACATCCCTTCATCTTCGAAGTACCCTAATACAGTATTGGAGAAGAGTTGACCCAGGTTCATAGCTAGGTAAAAGTAGCTGAAAAATGCCACCTTTGAATGCCCTTCCTTAGGGTCCTCCTCATCAAACTGATCAGCCCCAAACGTAGCAATGTTGGGTTGGTACCCCCCATTTCCTAGTGCAACAAGGTAAATTGAGACGTAAAATAACCCCATCTCCATGCTTGAATGAGGCCCACATCGAATCTGCTCATCTCCACAGCCCTTTGGTCTGATCAAGAACATGTATGATGAAAGTGACAATGACATCAAACCCTGCCATGATTCATACAAACATATATAGGTACACAATCAGAATGTAGTTTTTCTTGTATGTACTAATGTTGATGGCATAGAGTGTTATGGAAGGTCACTTACTATGACAAAGATGACCTGAAATATTGCACAGGTTTTGTATCTTCCCCAATAGGAATCACTGACAAAGGCACCGATAAGGGAGAAGATATAGACAGTTCCAGTCCATTTGCTAACACTGTTGGCAGCATCAGCATTATTCTGTTGCAGCACCCTGGTGAGGAACAACACCAAGTTCACCCCTACCCCAAAGAATGCTAGGGTTGCCAAGCCTTGATTGACTGGTCAATTCGATCCTCAAGTTAGAACCACATACAAAGGTAATACTAACTCTTTCCATCTTAGTCATTGTATATATATCAATCAAAGAAATTTTTTTGAGATTGATTTAGAATTCAATGACTGATAATTAGTGTAAGACTTGTATACATATAAGGAGATTGTAACTCTTCAAATGTAACTATATTGATTTTTAATAAGTAAAACTATAGAATGTGTATATATCAAGATCAAACATCAAAAAGTGTCACATTTTGATTGCATCATTACAAGGGATGCATTTGCACATTACATGTGCAATCAAGCGATGAATTTGGCAAACTTCATAGACCATCCCCCTATAAATGGTGGTAAAGAGGAACACGAAACGGTCATTAGAAAAAGAGAGAAGGGAAAGCGAAAAACGTTGCTTCTTTTGCTGAATTTAGTTCGTTGATTGGTCTTGTCCTTAGCCTAACAGGAAAAGGGCAATGCCTTTTGCTTTATGTATAGTCCTCCTTTCTTCTTTATCTCATATTTTCTATTTCAGCAGTATAATACTCCATGGATCAATAAAGTCTTTGCTCTTTGCCCTCTAAATAAAATGCAACAATTTCTCTTCTAAATAAAATTTTCATTTCTATATATAACATTTTGAATAAAAAGAGAAGAAATTCATGGCCAACCCAGCCACAAATGCCCGAGTGTTTTTTGTTTTTGTATTTTTGGCTCTATTTGCTTCGGATGTCATTATTAGCCTATAACGGTAACTAATTCTAATAAGTATTAAATTAACTGATTTTTTATT